AAATAAAAATTACAGTCATCACGAAGTATAGTGACAAAAGAGAAATTTTTTATACAACTTAGAATGGCGGACAAGCTGACGGCCCACCTGATGGAAAGTGGTAACCGTTGCCTATAGATATGAGCAGTACCATGGACATAACGAAATATACTGCGTCGCCCATAATACACCTCATGTGTTGCTGTGCCTGAGGATTAAAGTATTATGCTCCTGTAATTTCGTTTTGGAAATAATTATATTCAGAACACGGAATCGTGTATGTTTAAACAGATTTCGCTTCTAACAAGCATTTTTTACTTAAAAAGACGGCAAATCCAGTCGTTCCGTAATTTATATGGGATATTATACCAGAAGGAGACTTTGTATAAAAGTCGATTGCTTGGGTACCTCTGTCCCGTTCGTGTTTCTACCGTGAAGCAGTTGTGTTTGCATGGCTGTGTTTCGGTTTGAAGGGAGGGATATGGCGGGAATTTACTGGGTACAGAGGAATATCATTTGAGTTCTCAGGAATGGCAACGCATGGGGGGTATTATGGGCGTAACAGTATACTCTGTTATGTCCATGGTACTGCTCATGTCTATAGGCGACGGTTACCACTTTTCATCAGGTGGGCTGCCAGCTTGTTTGCCATTCTAAGTCGTATATAAAAAAAAATATCAATGGGACAAATGTAAATCCATAATAAAAACAACTAACAAAATCGGAAAAAAGTCTTTTTTATTTATAAATCTCTACATATGGCGTGGCCTTAGTTCTCAGGTAAAGTAACGGATGCGGGGTACCCTAATAGGGTACCATGTCATCGCAATGTGCTTAGTTAGCTATCCATCACCTTTGCCTTGTTTTTTTTATTTGAATTTGTTTTAATTGTTGATGACAGTCAAAACAAATTCAAATCATTTTGATTCAAATAAACATTGATTACAAGCACTTTCAAATCATCATTTATATATATATATATATATATATATATATATATATATATATATATATATATATATATATATATATATATATATGTATAAGTACACATATATTTATTTAAATATACTATGTCTAAATTTACATGACCATTAAAAAGCCCATGCATGATCGACTAACACCATGCACGATTGTTATCAAGAATCCGTCTCTAGATTTCAGCAATGGCAAAAGTCAAGCCGTTCGTAATACAGCGAGGTCACGCCTCGCATCTGACGCCATCTCGTCTGCCCCAACTTCTGCTACATACACAAATGTACTGTATATTGATCTTGAAACTATTTTAGGCGCACAGGTCAAGTTTTGTCCTCGTGCGAGGTTCACATGAATAAAGTATGAGAGGGAAATTTGGTTGTCTAGTATTGAGTATGTGAAGGTTATTTATTATTCTATGACAATACTATTTCCGTATTGTCTATGATTTTATCGACAATAACAGCGAGAAAAATATATTAAAAATATGTACAATTTAATTTGTGTACGAAACATCTCATCTTTTGTTTAGTATTAATAATTAACACTTCAGCTGCCCGCTAACAACATGCTTTCAAACTGCATTGGGTTGACTGGAGGAGATCTCTGTCAGAGACAAGTCCATCCTTGTTCACGATATTTATAAATGCATTAACAATGTAATTTACAAGTGCAATAAAGAGTATATATAATAATATGTAGGTAGTATGGAGTTATTTAAATTTAGCTGTGACGTAATTGAGTGCCTTGAGCAGGTCAGGGTTACTAAAATGACAGATGTCTCACTCACTGGGTTATTGAGTTTCTTAAAATATAGTTAAGCGCAATGATTACTGACTTATCCGACATTCTCGTAAACGGATGCTGACTGTAAGGACTGCTCTGTTCTGGTCGCTATAACCGATTTATTTTGTTAATTTGTTTTAATTATATATATTAAATTTTATGAGTTGTTACCACTTAGAAATTTGTATTTACACAAATTCATAGTTTCTGTAGTTAAACTTTTTGAAAACAACAGCTGAGTTTCGTGCTCATTCTTCTTGCCTGAAATTGCATTCTGAATAGGCGGTGGAATAAGGAAAAAATAACTATTTAAAAATGCTTAAATTAAAGTTTACTTGAATAAAAATATTTCATTGTTTATTTCTTTATTTATGATTAAAATAGCTGTTTTTTATGAAGCTACTGACAACTACTCGTTGTAAATCGAGTACCAAAACAATGACATAATCTAAAATATGGTATAATATGCGTTCTAAATGTAAATACGTTGTAAAGATTATTTCCATTTTGCATATTCATACATATTACGGTAACCCAAAGTCCGAGAAAGTAAAGAAAGATGAAAGACTCGACTATCCAATATACGACACCGATATAGTATGCAAACATTTTTCTATCCTCTCTTTGTGGGATTATTTACACATTAGAGCACGAGAATTACTATTTTTACATTAAATATTTGGATGTTTGACTTACACGTTCGATTGATTGATGTTTGATAATCCAAAGTCCTATTTTATCCTTTAGACAAATTTACGTAAGTATATATTTTAGTTTATCATCAAAATACGTAACGACCTTCATTCCAAAGTAAACATAAAAGGATTTCTCTCAGCAATTATGCCGCCTTGTTGAATTCACGAGTGTGTCCATTGTAATTGTACGTCTTCTTTTATTCTCTATTCTATAATCCAAATAATGTGTACTTATTTACTTTTATTCTGATTTATTCGTCAAGTTTTGGTCGTGCAGTATCTATGATGTGAGTTTTGATATTAAATTTAGGTAAATTAAAAGTACTTCCATAAAAAAAATCAAAGTAAAAGTCCTATATAAAACATAACATATTTTTTAAGAATGATGACAACAATGTAAAACACAAAGAATTGAAAATATTTGTGTAAGGAAATAGAATTCGCAAGAATCAGGATTTACGTTTTACAAGAAATGAACAACAGGATTTTGCTCAAGTAAACTCTATCGATGGACTGGACATAGCCCAGGAGCTGAGGACTAATGGATTGAACATAGGAATTGAAATCCCAGGAACTAAGGACTAACAATATAACCATAGTAATTATTTCCCAATTAATTTGTCAATAGGCCAATTGACCTGTCAAGAGGGCAGAAGAAGGACTATTAGTAAGTTGGACTATTCGTTCCATTGCTGGCAGTGTACTAGGTCGACTTCCCCGTAGTACCGCCTGGAAACCATGTGCTGAATTTCAATTGCATTCATCACGATAGACTAATTGACCTACATTTTCACCTTCATCTATGATCTGTCACTGGTGTCCCGCCAGCGTATACTATGAGTACAGGGTTACCATTCCATTATCATCCATTAAAAAAACTGGCTTCGCTTCTACTTCATCTGTATCTCCACTAGTTAGCTATTGGATACCATCGTAAATCAATAGCTATAAAAGTGACACCCTAAAATATATGAAACAAGATAATATTGTCATTTAAAACTTTTAGACTATTTATCATAATATGACAAATGAAACCGCATAATATGTGCGTATCAGTTGACATCATAACGCTTTTTGCTTCGCCATTAGAAAACACCCTATCTTATTTTACAGAGACACCTTTAAACCGACTCGCTCCCGCACCAATGAATGCAAAATGTAATTCGCTTGAAGTGGCCTTTTAACCCCAGATTTTCGGAGTCAAATTAATTAAGTAAATTATAAATTGAGAAGCAGCTATTACTGCGAGGCGGTGCGGCGCTCGCTTGTTGCACTGATCACGCCCACGACCACGCTCTCGAACACGTCTATTATTAGTGAATATACCTACTGGTGATAATTAACAAGCTGTGAGAAAGGATTTGATAACGTTACACGCTCATTACACAATTTCTATAGTCAATTTAGCTGATGCTCGTGTTTTATTTACTTGTTTATTTTTTTAATTTATATAGTAACAAATTAAAACGTTACATTTTTGTAATTGGTTTTTTCTAAAAAAAGTCATACAACATTTGTCGAATCATCATCATTATTATTTCAGCCATTATCCGTCCACTGCTGGGCATAGGCCTACCCCATAGACTGCCATAAAGAACGGTCCTGAGCCACCTGCATCCACTGACTCCCTGCAATGCATTTCAGGTCGTCATTCCAGCTAGGGGGGGAGGTCATCATTCCATCCAGAGCCAGGGGACTACAGATATCTTAAACCGCGGGATATCGTTAGGATAACACATAGGATCTATGAACTGATGGTATAAGGCAGGGGGAAATACAAAAGATGGCTATGGGTCGACGTGCAACGGCATAGCTGACCCCATATGCGAAAATAAGATAAGATAGGGGGGAGAGGTCGTCCTACACTGCATTTACTCATACGTGGTTGCCACTTAGGAACTTGTTGAATAATTATGATGAATTAAGACAATTAACATTCACAAGTTTTTGACCTATATAGATATAGTGATCATTTCTTTTATACTATTTTATTATCAACAGGCAAAAAACTATCGCGTACTAATTAAATTTAATTTATTTAACAGATTTTTACTTATTAACCGACTTTAAAAAGAAAGGAAGTTCTCATATCGGTTGTAGTTGTTTTTTATGTTTGTTACCTCATAACTAACTCAGTCGTAAACTAATTTCGAAAATTCCTTTTTATCTGAAAGGATATACTTATAGATTGGTCTCATAAAAAAATATCAAAATCAGTTTAGTATTTTAGTTTTTAAATGGAAATAAGTGGGTTTATCACAATTTAAGGATTGAAGGAACACAATATAAATTTAATATTGTGTTCCAAAATATAACATTAACTTAATTATGTAAATTCGTTTAATAACTTATCTTTCATAGTTTGCTTAAACTAATTCCTTGTTAATTACTTATATTACTAATTAATCCCTATTACATTTTACAGGTTTACCTTTACACTACTCGTTTTGTCCTTTAAAATATTTTCACCATTCGAACCTAACGAGACAGCCACCAAACAGCCTCACGCATGTTACCTGTAACCCTCACAAGAGCTGTCACTGATCGCACACCCTTACCCTGCAGGAAGCACTGCGCGGTCGCCGATGTGCCTCCTTGCGCTCGGCGGCGACCCCGGTGCGCGGCGCCGACGACTCCGGCCGCAGTACCCCCTCCGCAGCACACCGCGCCTCACCGTCCCCCGCAGACACCCCTGCACCCAAGAAATCCAACTGGGAGGTCATAGAGCACTTCTCCTCGAACCGTAGCAAGAAAAGTCCTACTACTGTGAGTACCTTTCACCTATTGCCCATTACCGCATGATGCATGCCAGCCAAACCACGGACGACGTTGGCATAACCGTTTCAGTTCTCTACCACATTACCAGAGGGAGACTTTGTACAAAAGTCGATTGCTTGGGTATCTCTGTGCTATTCGTGTTTCAACCGTGAAGCAGTTGTGTTTGCATGGCTGTGTTTCGGTTTGAAGGGTGGGATATGGCGTGAATTTACTGGGTACAGAGGAATAACACCTGAGTCCTCAGGAACGGCAACGCATGGGGGGTATCATGGGCGAAACAGTACACTTTGTTGTGTCCATGGTACTGCTCATGTCTATAGGCGACAGTTGCTACTTTCCATCAGGTGGGCCGTCAGCTTGTATGCCATTCTAAGTTGTATAACAAAAAAAATTAAATCTAAATTCAAGATAAATAAATATTGGTGATGATCATGATGAAATCAGCCATTACTGTCCACAGCTAAATATAGGCCTCCCCTAATAGGGGGAGGGGGGTTGCTTTTGACAGTTAGGCTTTCCTAATGTTTTAAGAGGGCTGCTGCTTATCAATCGACCATAGTTTCCGTAATCACCTCTTACTACACACGGGAAAGGAAGGAGTGGCATAATTTACGTCAGAATCACACGGTAAATATATATATATATATATATATATATATATATATATATATACGGATACGCTGCCGGGGCATCAGTGAGGGATGAAAAGGCAGGTCAGTTAGTCCATCGTGACGAATTCCACTAGAATTAACCACAACGGATTCCATGGGTAACCGCGTGGAGGTCGACCTGATAGGGTGTATTGCTAACAATGGGTCAATTAGTAACAATCCCTTTCCCCCCTGGAATCCACATATATTGTAATAGTTATCTACTTAGTTTGGTTTCGACGATTGTATTGTATTAAATTTCCAATATCATCTACGGCTATAGACAACAATATTTAGAGAACAAATTAATCCGCGTGACTGTGGTGTACTCACCCTCTGCCACGTTGATTTTTAATATGAATGCCGAAATACAAGCATCTCGATTATTACGTTCCACATAAAGCTGTCAGTCTGTACACGCCGCTCACTACGTCATTACGGATGATAGCTATGATCATATTTATGTTTACCTATCACATTCTTTTATACGTAGAAAGAGAAAGAAAGAAAGAAATAATTTAATCGAAGAAGCATGTACGTAGCAATTATATACCGTACATGTGAACAAAAGAAAAGCAATGAGCAACTTAAATTATATGGCATAAATCAATACGCTCCGCCCCTGTAGGTTTTCATACCTTTGAAGATTAGATTACTCCAGCTTATAAAACACGCTTGAAAACAACTGGGCGAGTTTCCAAACATATGCCGCGTATCGTTGCCAAAAAGCCATGAGATAGCTACCGTTAGTTCCAACAAACTACGAGCTTTAAAACTACGCCATCAACCTTTTCGGTGGAGTTTCAATTAAGTAATTAAAATATTGCTGAACCTTCTACGAATAACGTTAAAAGGCTGTAGTTCTTAGTGGTTGCGGTAAAATACGAATGCGAGGCCGTAGTCCACCCGTATCATGAGGGATTTTCCCATTTAAACTAGGTATAAAATACATAGGGACTAGATTAATCCATGCACTTACCAGAGTGAATTTATATACTAAATCTTTAAGTATGCACAGGTACGTCTGACCTACTCGTGTTTTTACCACCAAGTAACTTTTATCTACAATGATTTGATTTGAATTTATACAGATGCTGATACAGGGATTTTGTTTTATACATCTTAGAATGACAAATAAGCTGACAGCTCACTTGATGAAAAGTGGTAACCGTCGCCTATAGGCATGAGCAGTACCATGGATATAACAGTATACTGTTTCGCCCATGACACCTCCCATGCGTTGCCATTTCTGAGAACTAAGGTGTTATTCTTCTATACTCTCTAAATTCGCTTAATTATATTATTCCCATTGCAAGTTTGACGTAATAGAAATAGAAAAAATATCGCTGTCGCGTTGTAGAAATTATTCATACCTATAAATCCTTATCCAAATAAATTATTTTGTATTTAAAATTGTTTCAATACCTGCAGATTACTTTTTAAATTTTTCAAATCGTAGGTATATTCCATTTCAAAGATATTATGTTAAAAAGTCAGGTATAGATAAGGTGCCGCCCGCCGCCCGCGCCGTGTTGGCCGCGTGGCTGGCTAGCCAGTCATTGTAACGGTGCGGCAGGTAGGGGCGGACACATCTATGAAATAGGTAGCTAGGTAGGATCAGATAAAAATGTAAAGTGTTGGAAAAATGTCCACCCGTGCGAATCGGGGACGGGTCGCTAGTTTTTTAATATATTCGTTAGAAATTTGTATAATTTAATTTTTAAATTTAACTTTACAATATAATTTCTCCCATATACTGAGTAGTAAATGTGCATTATGGTAACCCTATTCACGCACACATGGATAAATAAGTTGACCTGTTTTTTCCGAAGCATAAGTATTGAAGGATTTATAGTAGTTTAGAAAAAAAACACGTTTGACACTTGATAATGGTGTGTGAGTGATGATCCAGAAAAAATATAAGATTCGCAATATTCCTTTGCCACAATCTCAAAGTGTAAGTTACGTATTTGACGTATCTGTTTACCAAAAAACCCCATCTTTCTTCAAAAGTGTTTTGGGCGAGTTTGTTACACGTGACCCGTGCAAACGGATCACGGCGCGATCTCAAACACAGGAATATGTTTACCATACCTTCCGGGCTTAGTAAATAGTGAAATGTTTAAAACAATTTTTATTGTCGCGAAAGAACTTTTTTGCTCCTTGATCATTTTTAAAGATAGGTAAATGAAATAGCTGAACGTTATTCGACATTTTGTATGAATCTAACTCAGTTGGGTGGTGTTTGGGAAACTATGTCGCATCTAAGTTTGGAGAGAAAGTTCTTTGTAAGTGATCATTTCCGGAACCGAAACATGGTTTACTGCTTACTGTATGTGGAATCTTTAAGTAGCACAGAAAGCTATGTACAGTGATATTCTCGGGATTAGAAAAGAAAATATAAAAATGAGAATATCAACACGAATATCATATTTATTATTACAATATTTATCATCATGTTTATTATGTTTGTAGCTTAATATTGTTAATTCTGCATCTACAAATACAAAGTATTAGTTCTTGTGTATTGAAAGGAACTAGCTTACAAGGCACAGGTTACCCTTATTTGTAAGCTAGGGCAAAAAACATGTAACTGTGCAACCCTATATTTGTTAATAAAGTTTATTATTATTATTATTAACCGGAGATTCGGATAGGTAAATAAACAAGAAAATTTTGGAGACAAAGTTCAGTCGTCGGCCATCTTTATTTTCCGTCTATCCTCATTTGTCCCGTCAATAGTCTGTCGTTTGTCTGTCGAATGTTTCAATAAGTATCCAGCGAGTCATCAAAGTGATCGATGTAGGTCAAGGGACTACCAACCAAACAACCAAATCCAACCAAAGGTAGCGAAAAGAGGTTTTCGAGATGGGGACCCTTATAGAGTGTACAATTTACTTATTTAAACCACAAAGGTGGCAAAGAAGCATACAGCTTATCTGATGGTAAACGATTACTGTAACCTATAGACGACTGCAACACTAGGGGTGTCACGTGCGCTTTGCTGACCCTGAAGAAACCTTAATGTACCCTTTACAATTAGCCATAACTTTTTTCTAGTCTGATACCCTGAACTGATTTCTCTTAGTATAGTTAATATACCTGAAGAAGGTAAAAGCCCTTAAAATAATATTAAAAAAAAAACTTGTTTCTAACCCTACTAAATACCTAGATTATTCAAATAGAAAGTCTGTTATTTAAATATACCTTCTAAAATGTTTGAGAAGACGCAACCGTGGCAACAATATAAATGATACATTAATTTAAATTTGAAATATGTTAATTATAACTGGAAGCATAAAGTTTACGTATTCAAAGGGTTACAAAGTTATGTCCACGGGTGGAGTTTTGAGATAAAAATTTACAAACGACTTATGAGTATCATAAATTATAAAACTAGACAGTTATGTTTGTAACAAGCTGGGCTCTTACAAACGTGCTACTTGACCTGGCAAACGTTGTTCTGTCATACAATTTGTTTAAATATACTCGTAATTGATTAGAAGACTGTCATCATTGTGTTCTCTTTTATTTGATATTTATATGTATGTATTAATATTGTATCTTTCATATATATATATATATATATATATATATATATATATATATATATATATATATATATATATATATATATATATATATATATATATATATTTATTTATTTATTTATTTACACTTTATTGCATCATTTATAAAATAGTAAATACATTTAACTGTAATAAGAAATGATACAAAAGGCGGCCTATTATATTATAATTATATATATATATATATATAATGATTTTTAATTTATGTAAATATTTATTTTAATTTCTGTTTTGCACTACTACTGCCCACTCACTACTTGCTATGCCACTGCGTTAGGTTGACTGGAAGAAATCTCTTTTAGAGATAAGTTCGCCTTTGCTAACATTGTTATTAACTTATTGTTGTAACTGTATGTTTTAGTGCAATAAATAATTTTTTTTTGGGTAGGGACACCTTAATCACCTAGATCTTATACCGACCAAATATACATAATAAATAAAAAAATTCATAAAAATCGGTCGACTCGTTTTGACCAGTAACGCCGTGACATTTTTATTTATACGTATATATTCTAAAACTAAAACCGTATAGGTCTCAAGCTTAGAATAATGGTAACTGATCCACGGATTGACAGCAGCGTCCCTCTTAAAATATCATCAAAAGCCAAACTGCGGTTGACAGGGGGGGGGGAAATAATTGTTAGTAATGGAGACTGAGAATCCTATTGCTAGCAATATACCCAACCAGGTCGACCTCCTCACGCTTCCCCCTGGAAACTATCATGGTTAACTCTTGATGAATTCATCA